TTTGCTGCCTGTTCTCAGGGTCCTGGTGATCTGGACCTCCTTAAGCCACTAAACATCACTAATCGATCTGGCACTCTTCTCTCTAAGCCTGGATTGGTCCTCATACTCTATTTTGTGCTCTCCACTGTCCCCATCAAATGACCAGTGTTGACTGAGAGGCAGATAAGGTAACACCTGCTTCTGTGGCCCTCGGACTCAAAGGCCTCACTCAGCTAAGGGCCTCCCGCCAGGTTCCTGCCAAGGCCTCCGGCTTTCTCGAATGACTTGATCACACAGCGATGGTTCAAGGCTGGGTGCTCCCCAGCTGGAGCCCTGAAAACACTTGCGTGGCATGCTAGAGAAGGGAACGAACTTGAAAGAAACTCCCACAAAGTAAATCACCAGGACCGGATGGTTTTCATCCAAGAGCTGGGGAGGGAAATGAAGTGTGAAATAGCACAGATACTGATGAAGACATTAGTTCTCCATTAAAACCACAACTGTGTCAGAGCAGAGGAAGTCCGCGAACATGATGACCTTATTGCTGCGGGGGAGAGATTAGTGGCCTCGCTGCTGCCCCTGAAGAACCTGGCCCACTTGCAATGAGTGACGCAAAATATAAACAATGACACAGTAGCCTTTGTCACCTTAAAACAGGTAAGAGGGACAGTGCAGCAGTTCATGCATGGTGGCATTTCAGCAGAAACCTTGGAAAGAGTCAGATAGTGAGTAGGAAATGTGTGGGGTGCTATCCCTACCCCCGTGCGCATGGCAGATATCGCTAATCAACCTGACACTCTTCTCTCTAAGCTTGGATTGGTCCTCGCACGCTAATTTTGTGCTCTCAAATGTCTCCATCAAATGACCAGAGTTGACATATATTGTTAAAATTCACTCACTCTCTTTGCCTAAGAGGACATATTTTATCATGGACCATATTGGCTCATAATTAAATTGTAAATAATGACACAAAGGAAGTCCTTCACAGGTACTTTGGTTCGGGAGCATGACAAGAAACATGCCACATTCTTTCTTCTAAAGGCTGAGTTAGCAGAACATCTATCTCCAGGGACAGCAGTTTTGTGAGAACTGGATCCAGATGTGTAATTCCAGCCCTAGCCATGGGAGGGTCTCGGGGAAAGCAGGGAAGTCACTTCCTCTGAGGCAAGAAGCAGCCTGCTTCAGAAGGTCCTTTAAGAAATGAGAATCAGCGATAGCACCTTCACTAGGCATGTCCTTGTAGACACTGGGGTGTCCCCCTGCGGCCCACAGGCCACATGCAGCCCAGGATGGCTGCAAATGCAGCCCAATACAAAATTGTAAATTTACTCAAAACATTATGAGATTTTTTTTGTATGATTACATGTCACAATGTATTTAATGTGTGGCCCAAGACAGCTCTTCTTGCAGTGTGGCGCAGAGATGCCAAAAGGTTGGACGTCACTGTGAGTTTCAGGAAAGGTGTAAGCACGGTTGAGTCCCGCCATGGCAGTGACTCGGTGGGGCTGAGATATGAGGGAGTGTTGAGAGAAGAGCCACACGGAGGCTGAGAGGGAGATGCGATAGGAATGTTGGGCCTTGAGGAACCTGAGTAACTGGATGGGAAATCCGAGATGTCACTGGGACTGGCCTTTATTTCATACCCAGGGAGCAGAAGGCCAGGGAATCCCAGGGCCTATGCACAATGCATTTTGCCATAGGATTGAGCAAAGCCTCCTGTCAGTGGTAATGATTAAAGCAATTTGTCTACAGTAACTATCCTATAGCCTAGTGACCTCCGTATTGAGGGGTATGTGATTGGGCAGATTTGGAATCGACTGAGATCCGACCATTTGAAGAATGTATCTGCCTGCCTCATTAGGGACTGGGCTCTTTTGCTTGATCAGTGAAAAGATGCTCCACAATTTGATGAACAGAGAATCAGAATACGATAAAAAGCACTTAGCATGGGAGAGACCCTCATTGCTCTCTGATTTCTCATTGATAATTCAGGATCTTGTTGTACCATGGGGTTGCCACTGGGGGGCGGGGCAGGTGCTAAAGACATGGCAGCAATGATATAATGGCTTCCAGTTGGTCAGTGGACCTGGGTGCTAACCCCCATTTCACCACTAGGTGCCCTGTGACTTTGGTCACGTCTAGCAGAACCATAGGTCATGGAACAAGATGCTGGGGAGGACATTTTCTTTAGCTCTTTGACTCACAAGAGCTAGGGATTATAATCTTCATTAAAAAAAATTTTTTTTCCCTCATCCAAGGATATGTTCATTGATTTTTGAGAGAAAAGACGTGGGGGTGGGGAGAAAGATCAATGTGAGAAACATCAATCATTTACCTCTCCCACACGTTCTGACCAGGGATCAAACCCACCACCCAGGTATGTGCTGTGACTGGGGATTGAACCCCCAACTTTCTGGTGTACGGGATGATGTTCCAAGCAACCAAGCCACCCGGCCAGGGCTATAATCTTCATTTTAAAGCGAGGCAGTAGTTGCTCAGCAGGAGTAGATGAAGCGAGCGCTGTGGGGAGGCATGGAGGAGGAAGGGAGAGAATCCAGGCTCCCAGAAGGCAGGCAGGCCTCACTTCACCACCTGCTTCTGTGTGTCTAAGTTTCCTGTCTTTAATGGGTGCTGTGAAGCAAGGGCGGGCTTAGCCTGATGTGTAGAGCACAGGGAGGAGTCTCTGTGGGTTAAATGATTAGATGTAGTGCTGATAACGTGCATTTCTAAGGCACTTACAGTTTTCTAAGTGCTTTCATCTCCTTTATTTCACCCTGCTGAGGACTCATTGAGTTGGGTAAGCAGGAGGATTCCTTAAACATTTTCCACAGATGCGTCAACCGGGACTCAGCTGGATTAAAAGGCTTCCTCAAGGTCAGATCAAGGTCAGCCCCGGGGCTCAAGCTCCTACCCTGTGATTCTGAATCCAGGGTTCATTTCACCAGAGAATGATGGATAATGGAGCGTTTACCCTATTTATTATGACAGTAGAGGCTTCGCGTCACAGTGTGATAAAAATAGGCTGAGGGCAGGGAGGTTCTCGGTAGCAAACAAACTGAGCTCACCAAAGTGTTCTCTAGGGCAGGCTTGGTGGCGTGGCCTTTAGGAAAGCCTTGGCAGTCCCCGCGGGCAGCGTCACCTTCTCACTGTGCCCAGCTTTCCCTGACGAGCTGCCCGAGAGGATCTGGGGTGGGGGTGGGGGTGGGAGGAGTTGGGGCCAGGGACTGAGAGCACGTCCCCGGTGAGGAGACTGCACTGTATGTCCTGCAATAGCCAGCTGGCTTGGCTCTGTCACACATCGGGACAAACAGCCTGGCAGGCCACTGATGTTTTTCCGAAAGGCAGAGGGAAGGAGGGCGAAAGAGTCAGGAAGAGTGAACGCAGCAATTTTCATTCACTTAAGGATAATTTACATTCATAAATATTAATAATTTATTAATGATTATTGATAATAATAATAATAACCCCCTTCTTCCCAAAATGATTTACTATGGATTGTAGTAAAAAACCAAACCCACTTATACATACATGCAAATGTGGTTAAAATAGAGATAAAAGGGGACTTAGGAAGCACACAGACAGCGTTTGGGTGGTCCCTCAGCACCATTTCACGCTCACAGAAAACAACCTCTTGTCTTCATGAAAGAGACAAAGAATATATTTTTATTAAGACACAACTCTATATTCTGTGTTGTATTCTTTGGACTATTTCTCCCATTGGAAATATCTCACTGAGGAGAAATGCTCTACATTATAACAAAAGGGAGCCTGGAAAGTGGACGTTTGTCTCACTTGAAGAAATACTATTCAGCCAGTGGTCCATGTCTCTTTCCAGCTAGAGATTCTTTTGAGAACCCCATAAATACCATATCCTCCTTCCAGCAAAATGCAAGCTCCTACGAATGTAACTTAAAATTCTAGGTCACTTAGAAACTCCCAAAGCCCATCCATTGACTTTAGGTTAATAAGCAATATGTTTAAAAAATTAAAAACTAATATTTATGGAATAAATTTTCCTTTTCTAAAAGAGTCATTGCATGCAGGTAAGATGATTGTATTTGAAGATGTGAATATATAACCAATGTCCCACAAAAACTCTGATTTCTATGAAATTCCCTAGCCTAACACATTTGCATTTTACATATGTAGTTATTGTACATTCACGTAACATTTTTCTTAGTCTTTTTTGAGGGTCCTTTTAAAGATGCTATGCTGTATGTAATCCACTGTAACTTGTATCTGATAACACGAGCAACGTTTGGTGTAATAAGGAAGATCTGCCTCCACTGTTAAATCCATTTTGATTCCATGTAGAATATGGCATATAAAGTAATACTTTAATATATACAACAGCCCACACGCCATCAATAAGATCTCATCCTCCAGACTTGTGAATTCTTGGAAAAAAATTACTTCCACATGTTCCTAAAACTACTTAAGATTTTTGACTGGTTGGTGGTCTATTGATTCTAAATATCTGACTTGTCAAAACGCCATCTTTAAACTTCAGTGATGCATAGAGGTTTGGAATTAGCGGGGCTGAATTTATTGCAGAACAAAGGGAGGTGATGATTAACACGCCCATCTGAGCAGTAAGGGGGAAAATAATCCTTGAATGGATTAGATGCCATGATCCTAAAACCACATTCTCTGAATGTTGGGCCCTTGCCCAGAAATGGGGAGCGGCCAAACACTGGTGCCTTTGACATGACAGGGTATCTGCGTGGAGCTCGGATCAGAAACACTGGGGCTGAGCGTGGAGGGTCAATTGGGAAAAAGCCTTTCTTTCTCCTGGGGTATAGCAGAGCCGCGGACCTAGACCCACGCTGTGTGCAGCGGCCCTCAAGACTGAGAGCCCATGGCATGAGTGTTGTGCAGTTACCCGTCTGCCTGCCTGGGTAGAGGTGACATTTACATGCAAACAAATGAGATTTTATTTTATTTTTTTTACCACTAACCAAGAATCACTTACACAGTTTTGGGCCTCCAGGCAGCTCCTTTCAAGGCTGGCATAGGGGTTACCAAGATGCGGTGCATTATTTCGCACCACCCTGCTAGGAGCCAGGAGTCACGGGCAGGCTCTCTCTGTTGACTGGCACTATCTGGTAAATTCTGGATGTAATTCCAGGGAAATTGATCTTTGTAAGAACAGTCCATGAACAGAGAGCATGAAACCCGTTTTCTGGGTGATTTTCCCATCACCCTGCTTGCCTCGCAAGCTTTATAAAAAGCGTGGATTTTTCACATGAGCCCAGGTGCCCAGGAAATCTCCTGTCACTCTGAGATGGGCTGGGACACGGTGCCATGTCCGAAGCTTCTAAATACAGTTCAGGCTGGGTCATCATGACAGATGCTGAACTGGCACTGTTACAGGGGTTGAAGTGGGAACTGTGACAGTGCTTAAATGCCACAGCCCCTGGCCCCGAAGTCTTCCTGAGCCGGGACAGGGAGAGGCCGTGCGCAGCCCTATGGGAGGAGGGAAGGAGCAACTTTGGCAAGGAAATCCTGCAGCTTCGGCAACACTGCCGCGGCTTGGGGAGGCAGCCGACACCCGACCACACTTCAGCTATTTTAGAAGTGGTCAGTTTCTGAATTGCTGACACACTTGGAGGACACTGTCTCTTCAGTGGTCATTCTGACCCTTCAAGGTAGGTAGGCCTGGGAAAAAGAGAGTCACGTTATGGCCACGGTGTTGGCGGAAGGACGGGTGGAAGTACGTGAGCTGATCAAGATGACTCAAGGAGTCAGGTGCGGAGGTAGGAATAACGTATCAGCTTTGGGATCCCCAAATCAGTCTTTACACAGGAGAGAGTGCTAGGCAATCCCTTACCTCACTCCACCCTCTCCTGTGTGCCCATCACCTAAAATCTACCCCGGAGTTAGCTTTCTTTGACAACTCATTCTCTTCTGGCGGGGCGGGGGTGGGGGGTCTTCAGAGGAAAAAAAGGAGACAGGAGAGACATGAGAGATGGGCTTTCCCTGGAAGGGTCTAGTGATATGGGATGCGAGGGTGGGATTCTAAGTTGCAAGTGTCCCAAGCTGGGGTTGGTGAGTTGTAAATATAAAGACACTGCTATGAATACAGTCCATCTGGGGTGTTTGTTTCACTCTCAATGTTTGCCCTGTGCCCCCAAAGTGGGTTCCTTTTTGTTGTCAAAGCATTTGATTTCAGGGTTTTTGAAGGTAGAATGGGATGGTGAATAAGTTCAGGCTTTGGAGTAAGGCTATGGTTCTTCTCTTCTCTCTGATGCTTCTGGGTGGGTGTTGCTGGGCATGTTATTTTGGCTAAGGCTCAAGGATCTCACTTGTCAAAAAGGGTTATACTGCCTGACTCAGTCAGGTCTCACCCTTATGCTCTCGGAGACTTCCTTAGGCACCAGACCTTTTCTGCTTCCTCTTGAGCCAGAGGGTGAGTGCTCTTAACAAGGGTGTCAATTTGGAGTCCCGTCTTTCCCATCTCTCGTGGAGCAGCGCTCTTGGGCTGCTGCTTCTGCCACGGTTGGCCTCTTTGCTTCTCTGCTCGAGGCCGGGATTTGCTTCCTGCCTCCATTTACTTGCTGAAAATCCAACATACAGCTTTTTTCAGTGGACCATCCTGTTCTATCTTCTTGCAGATTCTAGTCATTTTCCTTCCCAAACAGCGAGGCAGCCACCATGGGCCAGGAGAGCATCACTGAAGTAGACCTACACACTAACAGGCTTCCCTAGCTGCCATTTGCACTATGTCTTTGCTTGACCTGCCTTCCTGCTGTTTCTCCTTCTAACATTATTCAATTTTGACAGTTTTCACTCCAGGCCCTTAATTATTTCTTTCAGCATGCCATCTCTCCCCGTTCCACATTTAAATGTTTCTGCATTAGGATTTGCTTTCTTCATTTGAAACAACACAAACCTTCTTTTTCCCTCTCAGATATGGACAGGGAAATGACTTGGCATATCTAACCCCTGTGGTCACCTCCTTTTCCAAATGACGGAAGCAACTAACGTTTAATATATTCCCTCTGTGTGCCAGGAGCTTTACGGTGAGCCATCAGCGTTCCTGTTGTTTAGGTGAGCTGTTGGCTCAGATAGGTCAAATCGATTGCCCAGAGTCACACAGCTGTGTGCTCTCTCCCCTTCCTGGAAGCTCCTCTGGAAACCCCACTTCGCTGCAGACAGTAGGGACACAAGGGGTACAGAGGGTGCAGCAGCTGCCTGTGCAGGAATCACTGTGCTCCCCAAGGAGAGGACATTGCTGTCACCCTCCCAGCCACCCCCCGACAGCATCACCAGCTCCAGCACTTGGAGAGTTTTCTCCTTTCTCCACTTTACCCTCAGGACCACAGGCATCAATCTGAGAATTTTCTAGATGATTGACCTTGACTCCAACTCATAGAAGTGACTGAATGCACTGAACTCATTTGATGCCCCTGAAAGATTTCAGGTCAGACCCTGCCAATTAGTTTCAACTCATAGTTGAGGGAGGAAAAGGTAGTGCGATTCCAATAGTTCAGAGTGCATGTGGAGGTGACCTTTCTGGGATGTCACTGGGAACATGGCACTCAATGAAGATACCTCATTATTAAGGATATATGGGTCTCCTAAAGAAGATCAGAAGAAGAATAGCATGCAGATTCTTCGCCTCGCTTGGCCTACCCTCCCTCGCAGCTCTTCTCCGGCCACACCTCTTCTTCTGCTTGATTAAGCATACAGCATTTCATTCATTCATTCACTCATTCATTCATTCAACAAAAACACCATTTTATTGAGGCCACGATGGGTGTCAGGTCCTGTCATGGGTGCTGAAGATACACGAGGAATAACACAGATGTGGTCTGGATTACGTGCTGTTCCCTCAGCCCAGCTGGTAGACTTGAGTGCCGTGCCTCCGCTGTAAAACTCCCTTTTCCTGGAAGATCCTTCTCTGTCTTCCGCCAACTCTGTCTTTTCATCTTGCGGACATCTCTTCATCAGGCCCAGGGAAGACCCCTGGGCTGAAAGAGGAGCTTCTCCCATAGCACTTTGTTGATACTCCTCTTAGATAATAATACATAAAAATTGGCATTCATATGTTCCTTTTACTATTCATAAAGTATTTACATAAACACACAGACGCACACACTGTGTTAATGATTCATAAAAAATTCACAAAGTGGAAATAATCATCTCCTTATTTTATAAGTGACAAAACTAAGGCTTGGAAGTGTCCACTCGTTTGAGATTAGATAGTTGGAAAAAGAGGGTGAGCGTTAGAACTTGGCCCTCAACATGCTCTGTGCCATGCTGGATTTTGACAGTTCTAATTTCCTTAGCTTATTTATTGACCTGTGCTGTCTCCTAAATTGTTTTTGTAAGTTCCTGAGGATATAGGTCATATCTTACTTAATGTTGTGTCCCTTACAGTACCTGATGCATTGCTAGGCCCAGACTAGATAATTGATAAATGTTTGCGGAATAAATGATCGATTGAATGAATGGACAAATTCAAAAGATTACTGGAGAGGTTGTTATATAGTTGCCAGCCATGTAGCTCGTATACTCATTAAACAGGCTGGTCCCCTAGGTTTGGCTTCGTAAGTTGAGTAGATTTTAAACCTCACATAGCTGGTGGTCTCCTGAGTATAATTTGAAGAGCATTACATATTCCTGGCTGTCCTACTTACATGTTTGAAATTGCCACCTCCAAAGGGGACTGCCTCCAGAATGGTTAAATGGTTTATGGCTAAATTACACTTATTGATTAGAAATTGGTTGCTTAGTTCTTCCCTTTTAGGTTATTAGCATGAATTTATTTATTGGCGCACAGTGAGAATATCCTAACAAGGTAGAGAGCAAGTTCTCCTAGGACCTTTGGGGGTGGCTTCCTCATCACTTCCTAGACATTCAGACGTGGTCGACATCCGATGGTGGTGGTGTCAGGATGGCGGTGGGAGGTCACAAGTTGTGGTTGCACAGAGCAAACAAGCCTTGGCTCGGGGATGAGCTAACATGTCACTTCTTCCAGAAAAAATGTCAAGAGCCTCAGGGAGGGGCCTGTGTTGACAGCTGCTGGCCTAAAATTGGCTGGTAAATCTTGAAGACCACCCAGTCCATTAGGATCAACTTTGGGAGGACCTCAGATGCAAGAGGTATTTACATATAATATTGCCATGTGGCTTGTGACCAATTTTTGTTTATTCCATTTATTCATTTTCTGTGCTTTCATCAGGACCATTTTCTGAACCAAAGGTTGAACTTAAGAATTTTAATTTTATGAGGGGAATGAAAGAAAATATTTGAAATTAGGACCATTTTAGAAAATCTAGGACTTGTAGGTATTCTCATTTTTTCTTCATTTTCCTGATTAACTTGATTATCGGCATGTTCCCTTATATGTTGATTTGACATTTGGCTGTTTATAAAATATATTCACATACTTTATTATCAGATGACTTCTCCTCAAGCACAGATAGCCATTTGAAACAACAACTTTTAGACCCTGAACTCTGGCCTGAGTTAAGCCTAAATAAACAAAATTTTGCACAAGTAGGAACTACTTCAGCTGCTTTTTGTGTCTTTCAGTACTGTTTTTATGCACTTGTCCAAGTTCAAACATCCTTCAGTGTGACTTTGTACCTTCTAATGTTATTTTGCTTATGGTCTAGGATAAAGCAAAAGAACAATTTGACATTGACTGTGATCTTCAGTGATCTGTCACATTTGGATGTTTTGCCCAGGGGAAACTGGGGACAGGAAATGAAATACAACCAAAGAAGGCCTTTACCATTGTACTTACTTACTAAATTATATTAATTTTAGGAAGAGCTCTTAACTATTCATGAACCATAACTACCATGCTACTGGGGAAGACAAAGCCCCACGTGACCTTGGCCCCTCCCAAGGCTCTTGACCTTGACCTGAATTTTCTCTTCTTGCAAAAGAAATGACAGGGGGAGCTCACAGCTCTGCAGATCTGGTTCTGAAAATGAGCACCACAGTATAGTGGCAAGAGTATCACCTCTAGAGTCAGACTAACTCAAGCCCCACCCTGACACCTAGTTATGCAATGTGAGAGAAGCACCTTCATCTCACCAAGCCCTAGTGTTCTCGTTTATCAAATGTCAGCATGGTGCCCACTTTCTAGGGTTTCCTGTAAAAATCGCATGAGATAATGGAGATAACCGCCCAGTGTAGTGCCTGTTACTTCTACACACCCCCTACTTTTTGCTTCCACCTTCAAAGCATGCTGGAGCGCCACAGACTGACCCTTTGATGACATTGAGTCACCTGATCAACAAGAAATAGATATAAAACATACTGCTGCCACTTCTTTGCAAAGCCTCTTTCAAAGGCTCGGATCTCAGGGATGACTTTTGGGCCCTACCTCTGGTTCTGTGTTTCACTGAGAGAGGTGCTGGTTGTCAGGTGGAGAGATATGTGCTCTTACTCCCCTTAATTGGCTTATTGGCATGGGAATTGCAGGCTTCAGGTTACCTCCCCCTTTTTCCCAAATAGAACTCGGAGGGCATGGAGAGCTCAGAGACTTCATTCCATTACTAATCATCTAACGGGCTCATTTGAGAGTTTGTTATCATCATAACTTTATTTTAATCCAACCTGGGTTATAGTTCATGCCCGTGAAGCTCTGGACTGGGTATCAAATTTGGGCTCAGTCCGTACTCAGGTCAATGCCAAATGCTCTGCTTCTGCCATATTTAGACTTACTCTATGAAAACTTTCATCACCAGGTTTCTCTAAGCTCCCTGATAGAATCTGACATCCCAGAACCAATTTCCAC